GCGGAAGCAGGCAGGGAAGGGTTCCTGATCCGTTTTGTACCTGTGGATGTGTTTGAAGCATTCCTTTACATAGCTGTGATTGGAACCAAATTTGACCAGAATAATGCATATTCAGTCCAGTTTTCTGATTTTAATGCATATTGGAAGTGTAAATTCTAGGTCATGATAGCAGGATTATTACAGGAATGCTTTCCAAATGATTTACCTCAATTCCCAGAGTTCATCCAGCAACCTTGCCTTTCACTGTATACCAAAAACACAATGGGGATTATATATAGTCAGTTGGACTGTTATTGCATTTTCCAGAGTGTTATGAAATCCAGAATCCCTGTGACTGTATCACTGTAGGTTACTAACTAGAAAATCACTGTTTCTCTGTTTGGAACAAACTGAATTCACGGCTGGGAAAAGCTCAATCATGAAAACAGGTTGTCAGTAACAACTTGCATTAGAGGAGAAACACATAATGGCATTTCCTAATCAAGTGTTGATTTAATAGGATTATAAATCAAGGAATGTGACAGAGGACGTGAAGAACATCATTCGGTTCGTCCGAGATCACTGTGGGCAGGTGGGACGGAACGGGATGAGGAGCCCAGGCTCGGGCAGGTACACCCTGAACATGATGGTGGATATTTTCAGAGGTGAGTCTGTTCTTCCAGAAACACCCGAGTAACCGGGTGCACAAATCCCTGACCAGGAATCAGGAGGGCTGTGCAATGCCAGCAGGGCTTTAAAAGAGCATGTGTTTTACAGAATTAAACCTTCCCAGGAATCTCTTGGTGGTAAATGATTCAAAATAAATGGAACGGAAGGTTTAATCCATTTCAGGTTGCTATAGTGATAACATTAGTTTTCTGATGCTTAAAGGCTTTTTAATGTGAATAGACTACGGAATTCCCTTGGGAATCTCCCACAGGTCTGTAAATGCACATCTACGTGGGCTTTCTGATCATGGGCTTATCCTGTGGTTTCTGTTGCACAGGTACAACGAGTGCCAAGATTCAGTCTGGAATATTTGGGAAGGGAGCTGCCTATTCCAGGCATAATGCTGAAAGGCTGTTTAGAAAACTGGTCCTGGACAAAATCCTGGATGAGGATTTGTACATCACAGCCAATGACCAAGCAGTGGCATATGTCATTCTGGGAGAGAAAGCTCAGGCTGTGCTGGATGGGTCACTGCAGGTGTGTAACTGTTTATTTAGTGTCTTGAGGGTATTGTTTTAAGGAATGTGCTGCAGTTTTCCTCTGGCATATCCCCCTGGGTAGCTAAAACAACAGTTTGCCTCCAGCTGAAGGGCAGGAACAAAATCCAACATGTGTGATTCCTAGTCCAGTATTCCAATAACAATGTTGTGGGGCAAAAGGTGAGTTTGAGAGGCTTGGAGAGGTTCAAATCTTTCTCTTCTCCCCTATCCATCTGATTCCAGCTGGACAATGAAGGAAAGTTCTGACCCCCACAAAAAGCTGGCTAAAAAGGAAAGAAGGACCAGCACTCCCTTCTTTCTCCTGGATTTTTCTGCTCTATTTTTCCCAGTCATTGGTGAGCTCTGATGGAAGATGCACTTCAAGAAGGCCATGGCACAGTCCCAGATTGCTTGAGGCAATGCTTCTTCATTAGTGCTGTGTTTGGAGCAGAGCAGAGCCCTCAGCATTACCCCAGTAACCTCTGTTTGAAGCCAGCTGAGAACTGGGCTCTCAAGAGGTTTTCCCTCTGTATAAACTCTGCCAGTTCTTTGTAGGAGAAAGTTGGGGGTGAATGAGTAGCCTGTAAAAAATCACTTTAAAAGCATATACTGGATAAATAGCTTTTTTGGTCCACTAAAGGATACTTTCTTTCCTTTGCTGTGTTCCTCTGTTATCAGTCAAGCTCTGCAGGAACTCCCTGACAGGTGTTATCGATGGCTCCTTTTAACAGGTGGAGTTCCACGAGACAGAGAATGCCAGTGCTATCAGAAGGCAAAGGGCTTCCATGGCAAAGATGTCCCAGCGGGAAGAGGTGGTTAAACAGTGCCTCAGTGAACTCACAGACACGTGCAAAATGCTGGGCAAAGTCTTTGATGTGCATTACTTCAATATTTTCAGTACCTCCACCCTAAAGAAAATAGCAGGTAAGGCTGGGTTACTAAGAAGTCCTTCAGGGCTTCTGCATAGGGGGGATATGGAAAGGAATTAATTTCCTCCAGCATTTCTTTATAAAGAGTTACTTGTTGGACATGCGTAAGGGGTCCTTTGTTCCGTTACAGAAACCTTGTCCTCAGACGTGGAGGTTTTGCTGCAGATCGATGGTGTCACAGAAGACAAACTGGAGAAATACGGTGCAGAAATAATCAAAGTGATGGAGAAGTACTCGGAATGCTCCATCCCAGGTGCAGTGTGCTTTGGACCTCAGCGTGTGCTCTCCTGTGCAGTGCCCTTCTCTCCTCCTCTGGCAGATGCTTGATTCAAAAGTTACCTTGTTTTAATCACAAATAACTAATTCTTCCAGGCTAATAATTACAGAAGGGAGCAATCCCACACTTTTAGAACATACCAAGGTCTTTGCTACCTTCCTGCTAAATTCGGTGTATCTCTGAAAGACTCGGGATGAGGGCAGTGCAGAGGAGGTGTGGAACAGCCAGGGCAGGTGTTTTGATACCATCAGTGTGTTCTGGGGACAGTCTGACTGGCCCAGGTGATACCTCGGTTGAGTCAGTTTTTCCTCTCTCTCTGTCTGTAGAAGATGCTGCTGGCTCAGGTGCCAACACAGCCACAGGGAGCACCAGCACTGCTGGGAGCGATGGAGAAGGAGAAGATGCAGGTACAACCTCCAGCTATTTTGGCAATAACACAAACCAGAGGAGGAAAAGGAAACGGCCGGCAAACTCCAGAGACTCCAAGAGGAAAAAGACGAGTGCTGCTGGCAGCCAGCAGTTTCAGCCCAGAGGGTACGTGTCTGTGGTCTCTTGTCACTTCTCTTTGCCCAGATCAGCATGATGATGATCCCAGAACTGCAGTTATCCCACTGCAGTTACTTAAGTATGGACTTAAGCGATGGTGTTAAAATTATCCAGGTGCCTGGTAACAGCTGCTCCACTTGCTCTTCTGCATTTTGGCTTAAAAAGCTGGTGAGGAAGGATATTTAACAGTTATCCTCACACTTGAGTGCCACAAGCTAAGCAGAGACACCAAATTTTAATGTGCTTGCCATAACCAGCATTAGTAGGCTGACTGGATTTCTTCCTTGGAATCATAAAGAGGTCTTCAAACTTTGAAGATTTGATGGAATATTTGAATTAATTCAAATTCTCGCTCTGATTGTGCCAAACAAGGCAATACCTGCATCTGGTGTTCCTTGGTCTTAAACTTCTAGGGCAGATCCACCACTTCCAAGGATTTCCCTTTCCCTGCCCTGTTTTCCCTCATTCTGCCTCTTGTTTATGATAGCAGATGGCCACTCCCAGCTCAGCAGGTCTTGCTCTACCCTTGGCTCCTTCCCTTCTACTGAAATATTTGTCATTAACTGCTGCTGACCCCAAAGTGTCACTGGCTGTTGATGCTCTAGTTGGGTTAATTGGAGTCGTGTTGGGCACGTCCCAGAGCAACAGCTGCACTCAGTTTCCATTTCAGAGGTAGTTCTGCAGCCATGTGTGTTAAAAATAAATATTATAAAATGATCACATAGTCTTCTGGAAAATGGTGGTGCCCATGTGGGTGCAGCCTGGTGCAGGGGACGGGGCAGGTGATGCACTGTGTCACACACACCTTCTCTCTGATTTTGCAGTGGCTACAGCAGGTACAGAAGGACCAAGAAGCCACAGAGCTCGAAGGCTCCGGCTTCCTCCAGCCCCAGCTTCACATCCCGCAGTGTTGGTGCCACGCAGGGAGCTGCTGGGAGGCTGGGCATGATGGCACTGCCCAAGCCCAAATCCAGGAACTTCCTCCAGCCTTCGTATTCCATATTGTAACTGGATGAAAGCAAGTCCCCAGGATGGAATCACTGTTTATTAAATTTTTGTTTCTTTTGCTGCTGAACCTTGCACGGACCTGTGTATTTGTCGGGTACAAAAGCTCACGTTAAATAAATATTTTTTAACTGATAAGTTTATTTGGGCCTTTCTTTCCACAATAAAAGAGTTCTGGCTGGTTCTAGAAACCCTCATCTTTTGGTGACACTGTGATCCTGTTTTACAGCCACTTCAGGGACGTGCTCGGGGCCACAAATCCCTGGAGCTGTGAGTCCCTGAGCTGTGGCTGTCTCTGCCCTTCTCCCTTGCTCCTGCCTCAGTGCTCCAGAGCTGGAGAGCTGGGCTATTCCTCTGGAAACAGCAGGTTGGGAAAGAAAAGGTAATGAATGTTTTTAAGTTTCCTGTTTGATTCCCCAAATCCTGGAGCTAGGAGAGTCCAGCCCTGCTATACTTTGTTTAATTATTATTTAAAAAGAACCCAACCTGTGATCTTGTCACCGTCGGGGCCAGGGGCACTGGAGCTGCCCTCGGCTCCTGCCTGGCACAGGACACCCGGGTGCGTCAGGCCAGGGATGTTGGAGGCAGCTGTTTGTGTGTTCCCTGAGCACCCGGCAGGGCTGGGCTGGGCTGCGCCATTCCCTTGCTTGGCTGGAGCTGAGGATTTCATCCGCTCTTTCTGAGCAACGAGTCAGAACGGTTTTGCTCTTAGAAGCACAGAAGCCCAGACTGATTTGTGTTGCGGGACCTTAGAGCCCATCCGGTCCCACCCCTGCCATGGGCAGGGACACCTCCCACCAGCCCAGGTTGCTCCAAGCCCCGTCCAACCTGGCCTTGGACACCTCCAGGGATCCAGGGGCAGCCACAGCTTCTCTGGGCAACCTGTGCCAGGGCCTGCCCACCCTCCCAGGGAGGAATTCCTCCCCAGTCCCCCCCCAGCCGTGCCCGGGCCTGCCCCTGCCCCGGGCGGTGCCGCGGGCGGGAGGCGCTGAGGGCGGGACCCGCCCGGGCCGCCCTTGTGCGGGCGGGAAGCGGCCGCTCCGCCCCGTGCCCGCCATGGCGCTGCCCCAGCCCGCGCCGCGGGAGCCCGAGGAGCGGGCACCGGACACCCGCCAGCGCCTGCAGGTCCGGGCGGCGGGGGCTGCGAGGGGAGAGCCCGGCGGTGTGAGGAGAGGGGCCGGGAGCCACCGGGGCTGCGAGGGAAAGGGACCCGAGGGGACCGGGAACCGCAGGAGGGGCCGGGGTGTGAGAACCGAGGAGCCGGGAGCCACCGCGGTTGTGAGGGGAGGTGACCCGGCGGGACCGGGGTGGGGACGGGGAGCGTGAGGAGAGGGGACCGGGGGCCACCCGGGTCTGGCAGGAGAGGGGAGCCGGGGGGACTCGGGCTGTCAGGAGAGGGCCCGGGGCGGTCCGGGCTCAGTGCCCGGCCGTGCCGCGGGTCCCCGCCCAGCCCCGTTCCCTCCCGCCCTCTCAGGAGTCCCCCCCGGCGGGCCCGGCCGAGCCCCCGCCGAGCGCGGCCCCGGTGCTGCAGCTGCGGGTGCTGCTGACGCCGCTGCCCCCCGCGTGTCTGCCGAGCGCCCCGGCCGCCAAGAGGCTGCGCCTGGAGCCCGCGGGACCCCCGGCCCCGCCCGGGGCCCCGCCCGGGCCCAGCCCGGCGGCCCGCGGCCACGACGGGCTGTGGGATGCGGACAGCGACGGCAGCGACGGCGGAGACGCGGCCCCGGTGAGTGCCCCGCCCCCGGTTCTTATCTTTATAGAAGTAAAATTTGTATTTTTCTCTGTACGTAATTTTTCCCCCGTTTTTAGCCTCTGGCTGGCAGTGTACCCGTTCATTTTACCCTTTCACAGTGTCTGAGGGACGCACAAAATGCTCAGAGTGTATAGTTTTGGGCACCGCTATGTAAAAAAGACATTAAGCTTACTATTTCAACTTGTTGAGTCCACCTTCCCTATGAGAGACAAAAATGATCTAAGACTGAATTCCATTTACTCTCAGTGTTTGCTGTAAGACTGAAGTTTTAAGTTCTTTGTTGAGTCTCTTCATTATTGTTTTCATTCTAGCAAAATTTTGATGAACTGTTCTTTTCACAGAATTAATGCCAGAATAAGTCTTGTAAAGCAAGCTGTACCTGTGTGGACAGGTTTTGGTGTCGATACGCGATCACCTCAGTTTGTATGGTTTTATATTTGTTACAAATATATCAAACTACTTTAATTATCAGTTCAGAGACTCAGAGCCTAGGACCTCTCTTGCAGCCACATAACTGTACAACGGAGGGTAACTGGCTTTTCTTTCTGTAGGATGGACACTCTCACCTATCAGCTTATGAAAGGAAAAGACTAAAGAACATTACAGAAAATGCTAAATTCTTTGCTGCTCTAAAGCTGCACGAGGTTCGTATAGAGTCTAAATAGCACCAAAATGCACTTTCTAAATGTTCATAATTACACTGTCATCCCTCCTGGTGTGAAACCCTTCCCTCACTGGGGTAGGTGTGTGAGCAAACCCATGAAAATCACAGAATCCTGGAATGGTTTGGTTGGAAGGGACCTGAAAGCTCATCCCATTCCACCCCCTGCCATGGGCAGGGACACCTCCCACTAGCCCAGGTTGCTCCAAGCCCCGTCCAGCCTGGCCTTGGACACTTCCAGGAATGGGACAGCCACAGTTTCTCTCTTTCTTCTTATTATAAATAATTGCAATAGGGTTCATTGCAGCCTTGAAATAATTCTATTTTATGCAGGTTAATCCTTTATGCTTGTTATATATATATATATATTAATCTTTTTTTTTCTCTTTAAGTCAGCTGCAAGACTTAACCAAATTGCAACCAAAAGACAACCACATGGCACCAAAAGGTAAAATAATAGTAGATGAAATTTATATCCCTGATCCCTTTTTGTGGGATGAAAACCAGTGCTGGAAAAAGGTGTGGGGGAAAAAAAAGAGAGGGGAAGAACAAGGTATAAGGGAGAGGGTAACCAGTTAGTGCAGAAGAAAAGACATTTGGCAGTGCCAAACCAATGCCAGGCCAAGCAGAAAATGAGCTGAAGCCCAAATAAAGAATCATCTGTACGATGGGAGAAGGTGGGAAAGGATGGCTCAGTGGGTGGGTGACAGGATGGATAATAAATGAGGAGGGCTGGAAGGGAAGTGACAGTGGGGGGATGTGTTAGAAAATAAAGGGATGTGTAGGAAAATAGAGGTGCAGGACGTGTGTGCATTGCAAGGTGCTTGTGGTGGTGTTCCTCGCTGCCACTGAGGGGAAAAGGAACCACATCCCTCCTGCAGGGGCTGGGTGTCAGTCTGTGTCCCAGCTGTACCCTTGAGCCTGTCCCTAAATGCAGGGACTCATGTTCTGGATCTGAGTGTTTTCATTGTTCCAGACCCAAGCCTAAAAAGGTGGAGGATGACACAGCCCGGCGACGGTCCATGCGCCTGCTGAGGGTGGAGCCGTCGGCAGTTCCTGCATCAGAGACACCTGCCCAGCCAGGAGCAGAGGAATATGTGAGATGGGAAGGGCTGGAGGATGTGTGTGTGTGCACAGCAGCTCTATGAAACCAGTGCTGCTGACGCTGACTGGTGGCACTGGGCTTTGCTGGGCTTGTAAGCCCTGAGGCGTCTGGGAGGTGTGACACGGGGACAGCAGTGGAGGGTCAGTTCTGTCACACTCCAGGGCCTCTCCACAATTGCCACAAGCCAGGCAATGCCCTGGGCCTCAGGCAGGTGACACAGTGCAGTTTGGGATGCACAGAAGGGTCCTGAGGTAAAACATTCCACATCGACAGCCCATGGAGTTGAACAGCCTTAAACTCTTAAGGTTTATTACTCTGGTTTTTATTTCGTTGTAGATTTTGATCTGGTTTATTTTCCTTTGAAATGTTTACACCTTTTGAAGCAGTGACAGAGCAACAAGTAACATTTATGTTGCTCTGAGAGATGGGAATTTAAGTCTTCCACGGAGCTGTAGAATAGAGTTGAATCTGTAATACAGATCTTGTTGGAGTACCAGGAAAGCAAAAAACCCAGGGAGGCAGTTTTTCTGTGCTCAGTGACATTCTCTTTATATTTTTAATAAGGTTTTTCTTTTTACTGTTTATTTCCTGTTTGGTTTTTTTTAGATATGTTCTTAGAATGTCTGGTGGGGGGAAAGTACCTATTCATCCTGTTTGTGGTTTTAGTTTGCTTGAGTTACAAAAATTGCCAATGTCATCCCAGCCTCAGGTTCCAGAGGGACCTGTGCCCATGATTCCAGAGGAGCAGGCAGAGGACAGTAAACGGACAGAGGCTTTACTGAACACATGGCTGAGGATAAGTGAGGTATTATTAGTTATAATGAGTTACTTTTGGATAAAGCCATTTAGCTTGGGCTCTGATTCTGATCGGTATCTCCTTTGTGTCTGTAGCTGAAAGCGGGTGATGCCGACAGACGCACACCTGACATAGAGAGGTAACGTGGGAGCAGCAGCTAAAACCTGGCCTTGTCCACTTCCCCTTCCTTCTCTAATTAGCATTTTGGTGATCTTTGGTGACTGTGGTGTTCCAGGTACCAGGAGAGCCTGAGCAGCATGGTGCTGAGCGAGGAGAACGTCAAGAAGGTGGTGAAATCCCGAGTGTGTTCCATGGCCATCCACCCTTCCGAAAGCACCATCCTCGTGGCAGCTGGAGACAAGTGGGGGCACCTTGGCCTCTGGAATGTGGTGAGTGGTTGGTGTGCTCCTCACCTGCACAGGTGTGTGGTACAGGTTGGGTGCAGGTGGGGCACAGCCTGGTGTGGCACATCCAGCACCCTCTGCCTCCTCCCCAAAACATCCAAAAACCAGAGACTTTACTTTCAAAGCTCAGTAACTAATAGAAATAACGACTCCCAGTTCTGTGGAATGTCCGTTGTTTTGCAGAGCTGCGGGTCTGAGGAAGGAGCCCACATCTTCACCCCCCACAATCTCCAGATCAGCTGCATGCACTTCTCTCCCTGCAACCCTGCTCACTTGCTGTCCCTCAGCACCGACAGTCTGCGCTGTGGCGATGTCACCAGGGCTGTCTTTGACGAGGTGAGTGAGTGCTGCCTCCTCGGAGATCTCTCCAGGGCACTGCTGTGAAGGTTTAGTCTGCTTGTAACAAGTTATTTGGTCGTTTTATTAGCAAGAAAGCTCAAAGTTCTGTTTCCACAAGGACACGTGAATTAACCTTTAATTAACATCACAAAAATAGGGAGATGTTTCCTACTCACCAAAACCCAGTTAACAGCCCAGGTTCTCCCAACTTCCTTCCTGCAGAGGGCTGCAATTATTGAGTTTAATTTCCTCTTTCCATACTTAGCAATGTATGTCTCAAGGCATTGCCTTTAAACAGTGACAGAGTGATTGGGAGAACTGAGTCCTACAAACAAACGACCCAAAAGAGCTTTGTAAAACAACATAAACCACGAGCTGCCTTTGCTTTTCTCAGCCTTCAGGAGACAGAATGCTGTGTCTGTCTCCACAGCTTCCCTGGAGCAGAGTGTGCTGGGTTCTGACAGGCACAGCTGCATTGATCAGCTCCAGTGCTGGGAAGGGAACAACCTACTACAGCTTAAAGCTTTTTTTTGCCCCAGCCCTTCCAGGCACCGTGATTTCAGCAGGGCTGCAGGCAGGCAGGTGCTTGGGCAGGAAGGTCCAGGGGGTCGTTATTTGAGGGAAATGCTTGCAAGATGATATCTTGAGAGGTCGGGGAAGAAAAACCTGCTCAGTTTACCTTATGCCAGGTTACCTGGCCTTGTGATACCTGTAGGAGCATCAGTGCTGGTGGAACGAGCACAGCTGCACACCCAGAGAGCTGAGCCACGGGGTGTTCCTGCAGCACCATTGTGCTTGTTCTGATTGCTGCTGTGAGAGCAGGGGGATATCCCCAGGGGATAGCATGGGGTGACATCCTGATGCTGATTTCCCTAATTATAGGGAGCCAAGTTCACATTTCTGCACCTGATTAAAGCTTTCTGCAGCACTGGAGAAGGGAAAAGTATCCTTAATCCTCGCTCAGTGTGTGCTCAAAGCCAACAGCCATTTGTTTGCTGGAACACAGAGGTGACAGTGCCTTGTAGGAGCTCTAACAGCAAATTTGGAGTGTGCTGTTGCCAGCCTGCTTTGCATGGTTAATTAGCTCCTAATTATTTCCCCTTGGAACGCATACCTGTTTCATGGAAGGGTTACCTGCGTGGCTGGGTGAGGCTGGAGCTGTCACATTACACAGGCTTCAGTAGCATTTTTAGTGAATGTAAGAGGGCAAGGATGAAACCCAAAGCCCAGGGAGAGTTTGGGTGTTAGGGACAACTCAGTGTGTTTTGTTGTACAGTTCTGGTACCATTTGACCTTCCCTGTGCTCAGATCTGCAGGAGTGAGGAAAAATTCTCTTCCTTCGACTTCCTGGAAGACAGTGCCTCCACTGCCATAGTGGGACACTGGGATGGGGCCGTGGCCGTGGTGGACAGACGGACTCCGGGGACGTCGGCGGAGCTCTCTGCAGACATTGGCTTCAAGAAGACACGGACAGTCCACGTGCACCCCGTGAACAAACAGTATTTCCTGGCTGCTGGCTTAGTGTACGTAGCTCAAGTTGATACTGTTTCCAGTGGTCTGTCTGCCTGGGCTCCGGGGTGGGCTCTGGAGGGTGCAGGAGGGCAGGAGAGCTGGGGATGAGCAGTTTGTCAGACTCAGTGTATCCTCAAAGCTGTCTCGATCTTTTTAGAAAACAAGTTTTCAGTCCTTAGCAGGATTTAAAATGGGATTTGCTTTGACTTCCCTTCACCTTTTGGAAATGGGGACAGATGGGCCTTGGTGGGCTTTGGCAGACAGAGGGACTTTAATGAGGGGCTGGTTGGGCTGGTTTTGGTGCTCCCCAAATCCCTTGGAGCCACTGTGAGTGAATATGGAAACTCTGAACCAGCTCCTACCCAGCCTGCTGTGGCTCTGGAGCTGTTTTGGTGGGTGGAGGCTGTGAAGTGTTCCCTTGTGTGGCACCTGTTGCAGGGACGTCTGTGTTTTCGACGTGCGGTACCTGAAGCCCAAGGGGAACCAGCCCGTGAGCTCCCTCACAGGGCACACCAAAAGTGTGGCCTCGGCCTATTTCTCACCTGTCACTGGGAGCAGGGTGGTGACGGTGTGTGCTGATGACAAGCTGAGGTAAGGCTCTGCAGGGAAGAATCTTCACGGAAAATACCAACTTCATCACCATTATTATTATTACCTCTCTGCGTTACCTGTCACTGAGAACTTCCTGTCAGAGGTTTATTTGCATTAACATTTTTAATGTAGTCGTTAATTATTTTTTTTGTTCGGTTGGGTTTTTTCCCTAATTCTCATTTTTCTGAAGGATGTTTAACAGGGAGCAGTGAAATACACAGGTACTGTTAATCTTTAAAAAATAACCAGAAAAACCCCAAACCAAAACCATGAGACCAACCAAGCAAAAGCCAGCCAAAACTTGCCTTACGAACAGGAACACAAACTGCTCAGAAGTTTATTTTTAGCTGCTGGCACTTGAAATGATGATAATATCAGCTCTTTTGTAAGTAGCCTACCGTTTAATAATTTAAGCTGCTGTGAGTTGCTTGTATTGGAGTTTTTTGTTTCTCATCTGTGGTTTTGTGGCCATAATTTAGATAACTGCCTGATTTGGTTTGACCTCGGCAGCGTTTTTGCCCTGGGGGGTGGGATCCCAAGTTCATGGAGGTGAAGGAGCGGGTGGGATGCTGGGTTTGGCCTATCCAGCCTCTCCTCCAGCAGCTCTCAGAAAGGGTAGGGCCGCAGTTCCAGCTGAAAGCAAATCCAATTCACAAAGCACATCCAGTAATTCCAGTTGGGATGTTGGTGCCCGTGTCCCAGCTGGGTGTCTGCGCTGCTCCCGGGTGGTCTGGCTGGAGCTGATCCTGTCTTTTTGGCACAAGTACATTGTATTAAGTGCTGTTGTGTTCCAGGGTCTATGACACCACGTCCTTGTCATCGACCATCACAGCCCTGAGCTCCATCAGGTGAGCAGAGCACACCTGGGCCCAGGTGTGGCCACTCCCTGCGGGCCTGGAGGGACAGGACACAGGGAATGGCTTCCCACTGCCAGAGGGCAGGGTTAGGTGGGATATTGGGAAGGAATCCTTCCCTGGGAGGGTGGGGAGGCCCTGGCACAGGTTGCCCAGAGAAGCTGTGGCTGCCCCTGGATCCCTGGAAGTGTCCAAGGGCAGGTTAGACGGGGCTTGGAGCCACCTGGGCTGGTGGGAGGTGTCCCTGCCCATGGCAGGGGGTGAAGTGAGATGAACTTCATGGTCACTTCCAACCCAGCCCTTCCTGGGATTCTTGTCCCATCCTGCCCATCCCAGGACAGGGATCCACTGCAGGGATCTGAGCAGGATGATCCGTCCAGTGCGAGTGCTGAGGGTTTAGAAGATGCAGGAGCAGATAGGACATAAAGGACGATTCAGAATCGTGGGTTCACTGGGAGGAACGTTTCTCTCTCTTTTCCTTCCCCTGCAGACACAACTGTAACACGGGGCGCTGGCTGACCCGCTTCAGGGCCATCTGGGACCCCAAGCAGGAGCACTGCTTCCTGGTGGGCACCATGGCACAGCCCAGGCGGATCAGTGTCTTCCAGGACACCGGGAAGTTGCTGCACTCCTTCTGCAACACAGACTGGCTCACCTCCGTGTGCTCCATCAACGTCGTGCACCCCAGTCAGAACGTCCTGGTGGGGGGGAACTCCAGCGGCCGCCTCCACGTATTCAAAGAATAGAAGTGGTGCCTCAGACGCACAGTTTTTCCCTTTTTGCATAAACTTGGTCTATTCAAGCAGTTCCAAAGCTGACTGTTATTTCTCAGGACAGAATTGTGTTTTAAAAGCCTTAAATAAATAAATAAATAAATCCTTTAAACTACCTTTGGGCATTCGTGTCTTCAGTGGAAATAAATCCTGCTGGGACATTTGTACCAAAACCGATCTTTTTCCCCAGTGACAAAGTAATTTAAAAAGAAAAAAAGAAAAAGCATGGGATCAGCACTTGCAGCATGAGTGAGAAACTTCTTAATGATTTCCATGAGGGAAGCTGGAGCACTGGTGTGCTCTGTCCATCAGCTCTGAAGGGTTCAGTGTCCACGTGTGTTCAGCAGCATTGGTGCCTTGAGCTGTCTAGGGTATAATTAAATCCTCGCTGGGGCTGGAGGGAGCTCGCAGTGTGAGCTGCTGCCACAGGGCACTGGAGCCAGGGCAGCTCTGTGGGATGGAGCCTCTGCACCCACGGGCCCCTTACAGGCTGTGCTGTATCCAACCAAAACAGCTCTGGCATCATCCAATGAGTCCCCCAGCACTGCCAAGGCCACACTAACCCACGTCCCCAAGTGCTACATCCATGTGTCTGTTAAATCCAGCCAGGGATGGGGATTCCACCACTGCCCTGGGCAGCTGTGCCAGGGCTGCACAACCCTTTCCAGGAAGGAATTTTCCCAGTACCAAACCTAAAGCTTCCTGGCACAGCTGGAGGCCGTTCCCTCTCCTCCTGTCCCTTGTTCCCTGGGAGCAGAGCCCGACCCCCCCCCCGGCTCCCCCCTCCTGTCAGGGGGTTGCAGAGCCAGAAGGTCCCCCCTGAGCCTCCTTTTCTCCAGGCTGAGCCCCCCCAGCTCCCTCCTGCTGCTCCAACCCCTTCCCCAGCTCTGTTTCCTTCTCAGGGCATGTTCCATGTCTTTCTTGTCATGAGGGGCCCAAAATTCCAGGTGCATTTGTAAAAATTGTGTCCAAACAGTGCAGGGATGTGTGAGGGACTCACCTGCAGCAACACTTGCTCCCCGTGGCCTGAGCCTGCTCCTCACTGCTAAAAGACCAAATTCATCACAGTTTGAGCTGAGTTTTCACTCAAAGAAAAAAATCAGTACCAGCACCAGAAATACTGAACAAAGCTCACCCCGACTCTACTTTTCATGATATTTAAATATTTATTTAAATTTAAAAATACTTTTCATGGCACCAATGATTTTATGCTAACTAAGGTATTGGATATGTAGAAAAAGGTACATTTCAAAGGAAAAAAGGATGTAACTTACAGTATTTGGCACATGAAAGGTTAATCTCTAGATTTTCTTCTTTATGAAAACTAAGAAATTCACATTTTCAGGTATTTTACTGTCTACTGCTGAAAGATGCAGTATGCTAGGACGAGATTGACGGGTTTCTGATCTCAGAACCTACGGAAACAACATTTTGATAGAAAGACAGGTAAAACTAACAGGGCCTGAAACACGTGATGGAATCTGGGATGGACGGGAAAACGTACAACGGAAAATCACCAGTTCTCGTGGTTTTGAAGTAAAACGCTGGGTGACAACGGCAGAGGTGACCTGGGGCTGGGACGGAGCATTATCCGAGGAAAGCCAGGTGGAAGGTCCCAGGAGGGGACTCGGAGGATGTGTCCGAAGAGGATGGAGCATGGGATGGAGCTGTGCTGTCACACATCACACAGAACATCGCAGTGAGGAGGACGAGGAGAAGGAGGAGGAGGAGGAGGAGGAGGAGGAGGAGGAGGAGGAGGAGGAGGAGGAGGAGGAGGAAGGACGACACTGCAGCGCTAACCCGGGGTGAAAAATGTCAGCATCGGGAGGAGCACAACTGCATAGAAACACCAGCGCTATGGGCTGAGGTAGGAACACTACACTAAGAGTTAATTTTGCTATGTTGCATAAAACAGGAATATCATGTAAAAAAAATCACTCCTCCGCCTCCTGGAGCCTTCCTGGAGGGCTCCTGGAGCCTTCCCGGAGGGCTCCTGCCTGCTCCGGAGCCGGGGCTGGGCCCCAGGCCCTCCTCGGGTCTCGTGCTGTGAGCGGGCGGCCGTGGCCGTGGCCTGGGTGGGGTCTGTGCCCCCCGACAGACGTCGATAAACGGGACCTCTCCCCTTATTGCAGTGACAACGATCCCGGTCTGGCCCAACGCCACCGTCCCGCTCAGCGGTGGGTGGTGGATGCTCACAGACAACACGGACATCAGGCTTTGTAAAACTGCAGTTATGGCCCCAGCTTATGGAAAATCTCTCCCTGAGATGAAATTAAACTTGCTCAACTGTTTTCACCTTCTCTTTTTTTGCTAATATGTCCAGCTTCTCACCCAAACCTTACCAGAACTGGCTGTTATTGCTCCCTATGGATGGGCTGCTGCTCCCGGTGATCACTGGTCCTGGGGGTTGTCACCAGCGCGATGAGTCGGGTTTATTGACTTTTGCTTAAGAACAGTTGGGGCTAATGGTGTCCGTTGGCTTCTTCAGTGTCACCTGCGTGCCTGAACTTCTGTCCTCTTCAGGAGAGTCCAAAACCCAGAGCTCCTTCTCTGTCCCAAACCCAGCAGGGCTCGGCTGGCATTGGGCTCCTGTCCTGTGGAAGCGTTTGCTCCTCAACCATTTGCTCACTGGGAACAACTCCGTACCGGCACCCACGGTCACCCCATCCATAAAGTAAAAAAAGACTGGATTAGATTCCATAACAAAATAGCATTTCCTTGTTAAAATAGACCTTGAAACGTCTCTTTTTCTTTTTTTTTTGTTCTTTTTTCTTGGTTTTTTTACAAAACAGGTACAACTGGCGGAGGGTAAAGGTCTTCCCAATAAATCTGACAGTCACTACAGCTCCATGCCAGGCTTGGCTGCGCGTGCCCGGCGTTCCCTGGCTGCCTGTGCTCCCCTGCCCTCGGGAGCACCGACGCTTCAAGGCTTAAAAAAGTGGCAAAGGGCCGAGTCCGCAGCAGGGCGAGGGCTCCGATCGCTGCGCCGTGGGGAGAGGGGGAACCGGGGCGTCCCCGAGAGCATCGCGGCGTGTGTCACCTCGGAGGAGGCTCCGGCGAGCAGGGAGGGCTCTGCCAAGCGGTTCGTGGAGGGCGGTGGCGGTGGGCACAGTGCGGATCGAATACCGTGACAGTACACGAGTGTTAAATTAAACCTCAGTAGCACCATTGCTAAAGCTCCTGCGGAACGGCACCGCCAGCCCCGGCTCTGCGGGGGGGTGGCAGAGCAATGAATTCCTCTCTGCTCGGTGCTTCCCAAGTCATGCGCGTGAGATCGGGACGGGAAGTGTTGTGCGGGCTCCGGGGGTGGGAGCGGGCGGCTGGACATGGGGAGGAGGAGGCTCCGGGGGCTGCGCCCACCCTCATCTTCCTCCCGGAAAGCCGCCTCCCGGGCCGCGCCGGGCTCTGGGTCGGGAAGGGAGGGTTAGTGTGTGCCCGGCGGGTCCCGCGCGGGGACGGCGGCAGGTCTCTCCCCAGGCCCCCGTGGTGCCTCCTGCCTTCAGGTGTCAATGAGCAGGCTTACCACGGCGCGGAGCTTGCAGGCAAACCATCGCCTGAGGGGACAAAAGTATTGGTAATGGAACTGCTCGAACTCGGGGGTCTGGCGGATATCACGGAAAAAGGCAGTGTCAAGGTCGGACTCAGTAAGGACGATCAGGAGGAGGAGCAAAACAAAGAGGAGTCCAACTGTCACAAGGAGCAAACGGAGGACACTTAAAACAAACTTATTCACCTGTTGGGCCTGTGCCGGCCCCAGGCCGCCGGCGCCCGGGCACAGCGCCCGCAGCTCGCCCACCTCCGCCTCCGCCGCCGGCGTGCCCGCCTCCGACTCCTTCTCCTCCTCGATGCTGCACGGGGCCCCGTTGGCCTGGCGCGAGAGCAGCATCAGCTCCAGGCTGTGCTCGGCCACGGGCGTGGGCAGCACGCTGTCGGCCGGGCTGTAGCTCTCGTCGGCGATCACGGCCACCCGCTCGCTGCTCTCGGCGCGGCCCCGCCCGGGGCCCGCGAAGGCGTCGCCGTGGGAGGCCGAGCGCACCGGGGTCGAGTGGGCGCTGTCACGCAGGGACTCCAGGCCTGGGGGGACAGGGGAGGGGGAAGAGGGGGGTGCTCAGTGGGTTGGAGGGGGGGCCCTCCCCGCTGCCGGGAGCCCCCCACACCGCCCCCGGCCCGCTGTCCCCGGGATGCTGGTGGTGCTGGTTGTGTCTGTCGGTCCCTCGGGACCCGCAGCCCCTTGGCCACAGCTCGTGACCGCGGTGCTGACGCTCTGACACCCACGTGGCTCGTCACCGTCACCGCTGGCCCTGAGCCTGGACCGCAGGCAGGGCCCTGCCTTGTCGGCAGCTCATCACAAACCACCCGCGGGCTGGAGCTGCCCCGAGGTGACGGTGACAGCCCCCCTGGCAGCTGCTGCAGCACCTTTGGGGCCCCTCTGCCACTGGCACCGCCAGTCCCTGGCACCATGGGCACCGTGGGCAGCTGCTGACAGTACCCAGACATGGGCGGGGATGAGCTGGGGGAGCATGGTCAGCACAGCAGGGGCTGCAGGGAGGGGTGGGGGGCACAAACACAGCCCGGGGGCCACGCTGGGGCAGCTGGTGGGTCCCTGCCAGCCCTGAGCTGGGCTGGGCTCTCCCTGAGGCATCGCTGTACACAGCCAAGCCTGCTGCAGCCCATGGGGCCAAACTTGGGGATTTATCCTTACGGACTTATCCTTACAGATCTACCCCCTGGCTGGCACGGCCCTCCCCCACCAAACCCCTGCACCTCAGAGAGGCACAGAGGGGTCACACTGAGCCAGAGTCGCCGTGGGCAGCAGAGTTGAGCAGTTGTGGGAGCCCTGGAACAGACCCTGCCCCCCTCAGAGCAGAAACTGGGAGACCCCAGTGTGGGAGGTGTGTAAAGAGAGAGCTGTGCTGGTCTGGCACAGGGGGATGCCCCCCATCACGTGCAGGAGCCCCCCACAGCACAGGCTGTTCTGAGTTCTAATGATGCACCACAAACCAAATGTTTTACATCCACACACAGGAGCAGGAGCCATGGGAAGAACTGCGTGCCAGCCCCTTGTGCCAGCCCTGAGCCCTGTACTGGGCTGAGTTACAGCCCTTTGTGCCGAGGAACTCCCGCCCCCACAAATTCCAAGTCCTCTCCAAATTCCAAGAATCCCCACAAATGTGGGACTTGTTTCTGGCAGTTCTGGCAGGCAGGGTAGGAGCTCTGCCATCACAGCATCCCCAGCACCAGGGAAGGTTTCTGAAGATCGTGGTGGGGACCAGTGGGTCCCCAGGGCCGCCCTGCTGGCAGCTGGAGAGGGACGGGGCTGGACCTGTCCCCACGGGGAGGACACAGTGCACCAAAGCACCCTGGAGTGTTGTCACCCTTATGTCCTGGCCCTGCAGAGGGTGAAGCACCCGGAGCCACCCGGCCACATTCCCGGGGCTTTGCAGCCTCTCCTTTGTAAACACTGCCCGGCTGCCCCGGCTCAGCCTGGCTTAGCACCACTGCCACCCAGGCACGGGGGCAGCCCGGGCGGTGAGGAGCAAACACGTTCTCACCCCGACAGTTATGTGCTCTCCCGTCTCATGTGAACATCCCCCATGGCACCTGCTGCGTCCCTGGCAAGGGGGACACCCACCGAGAGGGTTCCCTGGCAAGGGGGACACCCACTGAGGGGGTTCCCTGCTCGTCACTGCAACGAGAGCAGTGCTGACCCCCCAGACACAAACCCTCCTGCCGTCTGCTTCCATGGCCCTGACAGCAGAATCCCGGGAAATGCGGGTCCAGCCCCACCCCCAGAGCTGCTTTGCGGTAATAACAACCCAGGGTCCATCCAGCACCAGAGACCCCAGCCCACTTCCCCGCAAACATATCCCACATCCCACATTCCTGCATCCCACCTGCCCCTGGGGCTGTGGTCACCGGGAGACCACGGGGACCACAGCCCTGGAGACACTCCAGAAGAGCCCAGCCCTGGCAGCGCAGCATTACCTGGCACAGGGGCGTCCCCGGGGCCGTTTGGAGCATCGGGGCCGAGGCTGGGCACAGCGGGCAGCAGCGGCAGGATCCCCAGGGCCCGGGACAGCAGGCGCGGCCCCAGGGCCAGCACCCGCACCCGCACCCCCCGGCAGCAGTGGTTGATGAGCCACAGGTGGACGCTGACCCTGGTTTTAATCTTTACCAGGCACTTCACCATGGTGGCACAGGGACAGGAGGAGCGCAGGGACGGCCGCTCGCCCTCCAGCACGGCTGCTACGAGTGGCACTGGCGCTGCTGGCCCGGGGGGCAGGGCTATTTTGGGCACCGAGCAGAAGTGAGAGCGAGGAAAAGCAAAGGGGTGGTACCAGCTCAGGGTGATTTATGGTGGGAGATGATTTCATGCTCTGGCTGCTTCGCAACTGCACGTCGGGAAGGGTGTCACATGTAACTGGGTGGCAGAGGTGACCCTGCCTGCTTCCACCCCCAAAACCGGTACAGACGCCAGCCCTGGGATTCCTCAGTGGAATTAAATCCTGTCCCTTGGGACAGGCAGTCCCTGTCCCTGTGCACAGCCCAGGATTGGTGTGGCTGTGCCAGGACAGGGCTGGCTCCACAGCCCATCCAGGCGCAGGGCACCCCTCCCTTCCCCCCTGCTCCTGGGCCATCCCAGGTCCCTCATCAGCATCTCTGTTTTCCAAATCTCTTTGCATCTTCACGAACTTCTGTGCACCTTCCCTCAGCCATGACACACCCCCCAACACCCACCCCACACTGTGTCACCCCAGTGTCACCAGGAGCCAGACACTGCTGTCACCAGTGGCACTGCCACAGCCCCCAGAGATGCTCCCAGCCTTGTGGGGCAGCTCCAGGGCTGCTCCCAGTGTTTTGCCCTCTGCCAGCCCTTCTTCCAGTGCATCCCACCCCGATTCAGTCCCAGGATGGGGAGAAGACTCCCTGCCCCAGCCTGGTGACACACCAGCCTTTCTGAGGACAAGGCACTGGGGCTGCAGACCCAGCTGGACATGTGTGTGCACGCGTGTATGTGTGTGCACGTGTGAGGGGGGGTGTGTGCACAGGTCTGTGTGCCCCCGCTCCCAAGCCCCGGTGGTGGCCAGGCCCCCCTCGTGCCCTACCTTCCATGATGGAGATGTGGACGGCTCTCCGCCGGGTGCGGGGCACGCTGCTCAGCCGGGGGCCGTGCGTGATGGACGGGCAGCTCCGGCTCGGCACCAGCCCGGCCCTGGGGACGACAGCGGGGTCGGGGTCAGAGCCGGGACGGTGCCAGCACCCCGGGCACGTGGCAGTGCTCCTGCTGGGATCCCACCCTGGGTACCGACCCCTGGGAGCTGCTGCCGGGCTCTTACCGGTGAATCTCAGGGGGCTCCCTCTTGATCTTGGCGCTGGACTCCATCACCTCCTTGGCGACGCGGCCGCTGCAGGAGGGTCAAGAACAGCAGAGGTGAGGACAAGAGCACGGTACCAGTGAGCCAACACATCCCCCCGTGGCACCCAGTGTCCCAGCACCACCTGGGCCCTCCCACACACACGACTCCCTGGAGGGGGTCTCCCCACAGCTCCAGGGGAAAGCAGAAATATGTGCCGGGAATAGGGGCGATGGAGGAGCCTGGAAAGGCTGAGCTGACACCTCTGCCACCATGTTTTGTTGCTTGGCCTGGCATCGGATACCGGACACCATGGGATCACTTCCCCTCAGCTGGGGGACACACAACAGGCATCCAGGCCCTCCCATGCCAGTGAGGAAGGCTCCGGCACCGTGCACCTCACAGCTGGGGTTGTGCTGGGGTCTCTTGTGCTGCAGAGGTACGAGGTCCAAGGCCCAGGCTCTCACTCCAGCAACTTCCCCCAGAAATTTAGGGACCATAGTGATTCATTTCACTTCTTGTTGTTCTCAAACCCCAAATCCACTGTCCTCTCCCCTCCTCTACTCCTGTCCCTCCAAAACTGCAACTCTGGGGGTGGGGAGGGGGATGGTGGCTGTGACACAGAGACAGCAGTGGTGGTGGTCTGGCTGGGGTCAGCACTACAATGGGGGGATCTCTGCAGGACCCCGAGATGGCCCTTGACTGCTGCAGCCCCAAAGCACCTCCAGGAACTGCCCCTGCTGTCATATTTACCTGTATCGGAACCGGCTTCCCTTGAAGAACAGGTTGCTGCTGGACACCGTCCGCACCTGGCTTGACTTCTCCAACCTGCAACAGCACCAGGAGCGTGTGAGCATCCCACACCGCCAGCCAGGAGCTGGGAATAGCCCTGGCACTGCATTCTGGCGAAGCTCTGCCCAGTTCTGTTCCCATCCCATGGGACCTCCCATCCCATGGGACCTGATCCCTCACCCCAGGAGTGCCCAGCAGCACCTCAGCTGAGCCCACGGTCCACTCTGCTGGGTGCACAACCCAGCGGTAATTCACTGACACGACTAATCACAGGGAGATTTGTAAAGCAATATTGCAATTTCATTTCATGTTCATGTAATGAGGAGCGAAACCTGCTGATTGCAGCTGCTGATTGCAGAATTCCCAGTGGGAATGCATTGCACGCTCTGTCTCGCAGCTTGCTGATTAAAATAAAACTCATTACCAAGCACAAAGTGGGCTGGGTTAAGTATGGCATAAGCAGGATGGTGAATCCAAGCAGCTCCACTGGCATCTCCTCGGTACTGTGGCTCTGCCAGGGCCACTGGGACAAAGTGCCCCACGGGCAGTGACCGATCCAGTACCTGGATGGAGCCCAGAGGTGGGCACCGACCCACAGAGGCCACAGGACACAAACCAGCACTTACTTGTAGAAAGCCTGGTTCTCAATCCCACACTTCCAGAGGTGTTTGCAGGCTTCTGGTGTCGGGGCAAAATAGGTGAGGACAATTTTCTTCTCCTAAAGGAGAAAGACAGGGAGTTGAGCAGGGAACAGGGAGTGGTGCCCATTGGACAGACAGAGACTGGAGCAGACAGGGCTGGAGAGTGGCACTGGCATGGACAGATCTTGCCTTGGAGCCATTTGGGACACAGGGGTGTTGGAGCACTGGCAAACAGCCCGGTGTGGAGCCAGGCATGAGGGATGGGCAGATATGTGCCAGTTTTCTGCCACCCACCCCTCTGCTCCCAGCCTTTGGGAACAGCCAGAAATACAACTTTCATAAAAAACTCCTGCTGATGGCTCCTGTGGAGCCAACTCCACCCAGAGGTGTTCCAGCTGACTTTGTGGGACACAGCAATGAATAACCACCATAATCCCAAAGGCAGCACCAGTGGGAAGGCATGGTCAGGAACTGGTGGGCAGAGCCTCTGCCACAGCACAGCCCAGGGGGGCTGAGGGATCTAATGCCAGAGCAGGGCACCAGTGGGAGCAGGGAGGTGACCCCAGCACTGTCATGGAACTGCAGTCGCTGTCACCATCCCTGTTCCCTTGCCCTGCCAGGCCAGGGTGATGCTGCTGCCAAGTTCCTGAAGAACCCCCTGAAGACATGACCACACTGTGCCCAGGAATTCCCACAGGAAGGGGGAACACTCACCTCCTTCTGACTCACATACAAGTAGAAAGTCTTCCCTTCGAATTTCATCTTGGTCACCTCATTCCTGGAAGGACAAGGACAGGCAGGTGGGAGCTGTGCAGAGCCCACCACAGCCCAGAGCCCACCCAGCCCAGCCCCTGGCACCACTCTGGTGTTTGGGATGGCAGCAGGGCAGCTTTCAGACCCTGCTTTCCATCCTGGGAGGTGCGATGGGGTGGTGAGGCCAGCCCTGGCTCAGAAACCAGGAGCTGGAATATGGGACACCCCAGAGTGAAGCTGGGGGTCAGCGGTGAGTCCTGGGGCCCTGGGGAGCTCATCCCATGGGCAGTGGCTGGTGGCAGTGCCAGGGACACACTGGCCAAATCTGGAGATGCTACAGTGACCTGGGAACATCACAGCCAGGCTCAGAGGGGCTGGGGGCATTTGGGATGTGGCCAACATGGGGACAGTGAAGTTTAACGGAGACAGACGTAGAAAATAATAAGTCAGGGGCAGCAAAGCTCTGGGTGCACTGAGCACTGCCCTGTCTGGGCACGTCCCCCCAACCCTGGTGCCGTGGGGGGGTCACCCACGTACCCAAACATCCCTCAGAGCCCCCGGGGTGACACAGGACACCCCCGGAGTGACTGGAGTCTGGGGTGGGAACTCACCACTTGATGAAGTGAACCCTCTTGTTTCCCTGCAGAACGACGAACCCGAAGGGCGTGAAGGCCAGAAACGCCGCGTTCCCCGACACGTCCTGCAAGGCAACCGTGGCTGCTGCTCAGAGCTGCTGTCAGCAAAGCTGGCACAGCACCAGCCACCCTCGGCCAGGAGCTGGGGCACTGCAGCAGCCTGTGTGCCAGCTCTGCCAGCACCAGTTACGTGTTATCATTTACATATCACATTGACACATAGAATATATGCTGTTATCATAACAGTATGTTATCATTGTTGCAATTAATGTATCTATTTATTATATATATTGTAACCATACTGTTATATGTCACTATATATAGTTATTATATAGATATACAGTATTTATTTAATATACATAATAAGTACTATAATGTACATAGTTCAATATAGTTATATACTGTATTATCATAGAATCATAGAATATCCTGTGTTGGAAGGGACTCACAAGGATCATCGAAGCCCAGGTCCTAAACACTGTATTATATTACTAATACATGTACTAATTGACCCGGGACATGATAACCCCCAGCTGCACTTCTCTCCCTCAGAGCCCTGCCCAGCCAGTGCCCTGGGCAGTATCAGGCCAGTTCAAAGCCACCAGTTCTGTCTGGTTCAGGCAGCACTTCAACCCCATCCCAACGGCAGCTCCAGGGAAGTGATCAGTGACTGCACTGGGTGCAGGGAAAACCAGGGACACTCAGTTGTGAAAATGTTGTGAAATAGTTGTGGCTGATCAGCAATCGCTGGATTCATCCTGGTTTTGGTTTTGGCCAGCAGGCATCCAGAGGGCTCTTGAGGGATGCTCAGAACAAAAGTCCATCCTCAGCCTGTCAAGGCTGAAAGGCAGAGAGAGCTGATCCCCAACCAACACCTGCACACGGCAGGGTGTGAACCCCAAATTCAGAAACCTGCCACAGTTCAAGCCCTGGGCTGCCCAGTGCTCTGGCTCTTTCCCAAATCTGGGAAAGCCTTCAGGAAAGGAAACAGGGTCTCAGCAGAGTGATATACCCTCCTGGGGGTGCAGAGGCTTGGTAGGGGCTGGGGGGGGGCTAAAGGGGGCATAGGACCCTGCACAGGTTCAAAAACCCCTGTGGATGTGGCCCCTGGGACATGGGTTAGTGCAGGGTTGGCAGTGCTGGGGGAGTGGTTGGGCTCAATGGTCTCAAAGGGCTTTTCCAAACCAAACAATTCCATGATTCTCTTTGCTTAGGCCAGAAGTTCTGTCCATCATCTGATACAGAGAAATGAGGGAACCCCTGTTATTCACACACACACATTCATGCAGGGATTGATGTCTAGAATGGTTACCAAGGACGGCATCAGCAGCTCCAGTGAGCCCTGCTTAAGAAGGGAATATCTTTTATTATGTTTGCATTTTTTGGGGAAAACTACTGTAAGACCATGAAAACTTCAGACAAACAGGACCAAGTCAAGGGGCACTGAACCAAGAATGCCTGGTGGGAGGAAACAGCCCCTCATCCCAACTCTGCCACAATCCATTGGAGAAGAGGGAACAGAATCAGCTCCATTTCACTTTGGATCCTTTAAGCTCATTAACAGCAGCTCTTGATGAATTAGGCTGAATTCTGCTAATAGACCTAAAAGTGTGTATATTTGTCCTTAGCTCTTGTAAGAACATGAATCAGTGTAACTCAAATATATTTAAAAATGTTCTTGGGGTAAAAGAAAGGTGACTACAGCAAAGGTCAGAAAGGGGTGGTTCCTGTAAGAGCACTGGTTTAGAGGGAATTCAGAGCAAAGCAACCCCCGGGGCACTCACAAACAGCCCATAAACAGGGAACTCCCCCAGTTTACTGCAATTGTGTGTTAATGTGGCACAATTCAGGGAAAAGCCCTGAGGGACCCCAGCGAAGGCACGGCCTGAGGGGAGAATTCTGTCTGCTTTGCATCCCACATCCATCTGCATGTGATGGGATTATCAGGGAGCAGAGAGAGCCACAGGCAGTGACATCCACAGTCAATAAAGAGCATTTCCAAAAGCAAACTGGATTATGGGCTGGGCAGAGCAGAGGATGGACTGTCCCTGGCGGGTTAATGCCTGGTTGTTCCTCAGCCACTGACCCTGTTACTGCCTCCCAATGACCTCCTTCAGCAGCAGATGATTGACCCCTCTCTTACAGCTGTCTGCATGTGAAAATGCTTTCCTACAGCTTCTCTGGACACCCTCTGGGAGGGTTTTGGGGAATCCAACCGGAGCAATAGCTTTAGGAACTGCTTTAGGAACTGTTTTACCTTGCATGGGTGTGGGTCGACCCCGTAGGTCTCCAGAGTCTGGGCTTTCCTGAGAAAATTCAGCTCTGAAGTAGCTGGTGTCTGCCCACTGAAGGAGAAAAAAACAGGGGAAAAAGGAATATTCCATGGAAGAGAGGAAAGGCAGCTACTGGGATTCTGTTAACAGTGAGGCATCAGCTATGGCTCATTCCTGTTAGATTTGTTCTGGGATCAACAGGAGCACAGCACTGAAGCCCAGCCCATCCTCTCCTGCCAGTTCCTTCCACAGGAGCCACACTGAACTGGCAACACTGGGAAGGGCCAAAAAGGACCATCTGCCAAATTTAGAGATGAATTCCCTACTTGCAGCAGAGATATCTCATCCACAGGGAGGAAAGGGGAGTTTGGGGGCAGAGGGCAGCAACCTCTGCATATAAGGACACAGCTTACACACTTTAAGGATTGAAAATCCCAAACAGGGATAACAGTGCTCCGAGCACCAGCAAACCCCACAGCTCTGGTACCTCAGCTCCGACTTGTGGATCTCTGCAATCTTCCTCTCCAGCTTCTCTGAGTGTTTGGGGAAGAACTGGAACTTGGAGCTGTAGCCTTCTGGGTGCTTCCCCGGGTCGTAGTCCCCAATCTCAGCTGGTGGGAGACAGATCCAGTTGGGAAGAGCAACACAACCAAAGCACACTCCCCATCCCGGCAGCACCCAGTCAGGGCTCAGTGTCCCCTGGGAATGCCACTCCAACCCCACTGTGCTTCCCACTGGGAGGGATTGTTTGTCAGGCATTAACTGCATCCACTTCATTCCATTGCTTATGTGGGAATCACTCAGCAGCAGATGGTCACAAATTTATTAATTCCTCGAGGTGCAGGAGCAGGCAGGCAAACAGGCAGAAGGGCATAGGCTGGATGAGCCAACAGGATGCTCCCGGGGAACACCATGGCCGGATTGCAGGGGAGACCCAGCCCCCATCCTTGTCCTCCCCCAGCCCAGCCCAGCCCTGGGGGTAATATCAGTATTCCAGGTGCAGTGACCTGCTGTCAGAGCAATAATGGACCAGTGCAGAGCAGGAACCCCCAGCCATTACCCTGCAGGATGTAGGCAGCCAGCAGCGCCGCGTCCGACGTCTTGCACAGCAGCCGCCCGTGGTACAGATCCCTTTTGATCTGCAGGAAGACTAAGTACCTGGGGACAGGAGGGAGAGTCCGTTCATTAAGCAAAGTTTAAATTACCCAAACAGGCAATTTCGATGTGGAGTATCTGCCACCAGACACTTGCTCTGACATCTCTCTCCCAGCAGTTCGTTTACCAGACCTGACACTCGCTGGGAGTGAACCAGGGCTGATTCTGGCCAGGAGTGGGGCTCAAATCCACACATCCCAGCCCTGTTCCAGCCCACAGGGACATGATGCCTACTCTGGGGCCAGCACCCAGCCCAAGGGCTGGTGGAGATCTCCATCAGCCTGGATACCCTCTGAGTTTCTTCACGGCACCAGAACACAACTACAATCCCCCCAGCCCATCCGAGGTGCCCAAGGATGATGCTCTGAAGGGGATCTCATGGTCCACAGCCCACCAGCAACTGCTGCACTTCCCAGTCCTGCATCCTCCCCTGTCTGCTCAGCTTCCCCATGACATGTCTCCTTTCCAAATTTTCTGTGTCCTTTCAGGTCTCAGCACACACTCCCATCCCTCCTCTGTCCTTGCCAGAGATTGGCACAGTACCACCCAGGGGGAATTGCCTCCTGTGCTCACCCATCCCTATCTCCATGTTCAGTGAAAAGACAAACTATGTTGGAAAATTACATATTTAAATAAATTTAAACCTAAGTAACAGTTTGGGCTGAGTCCTGTGGTGTTTGGGAAAACCTTTAGATGATAAAATGTGAGTCACAGAGGGAAGGAGCAAAATGGAGCGCTCAGAAATGCATTTAAATAACTAGACTCACACTCTGCAGTCTCTTGGTCATGCCTCATTGCTCAAATCCATGTTTACGATGAGATAAACCACTAATTTGCACAGAAAAAATATATTAAAGAGAAATCAAGATATTGAAGTGGACTCTGTCCAGGGGAAAGTGAATTTTAAGCCCAGGCTCCAGTTGCAGCTGCAGGCACACCTCAAATGGCAGCAAGGAGGGACAACTCACCTGTATGGGACTCAACCTGGACCCGTGGAGGTGACAGAGGGCACAGTTAGATGAGGTTTTGGGAGGACAATCTTCACCGTGTTCCACCCTCTGCCATGGGCAGGGACACCTTCCTCTATCTCAGCTTGCTCCGAGCCCGGTCCAACACATCCAGGGATGGGGCAGCCACAGCTTTTCTGGGCAATCTGTGCCAGGGCCTCCTCACCTCACAGGGAAGGATTTCCTCTTATCTAACCCTTTACTCTTATCAGTGTGAAGTCATTCCCCCTTGTCCTGTCCTCCAGGCCCTTGTCCCAAGTCGCTCTCCAGCTCTCTTGGAGCCCTTTTAGGTGCTCCAAGGGGCTCTCAGGTCTCCCTTTACAGAAGGTGCCAGCTCAGAGCCCTCCAGCAGAGGCTCCAGCCCAGCTGCCCCAGGCAGAGCTGACCCTCCCCACCCCATCAGTCAGGGGCTGGGGTTGATGTGCTCCAGAGATCCACAGCCATGGCTTGTTTTCCAGAGCTGCTGAGATTGCTCCATGAGTTCTCCTCATGTCCTTCCTCCCGGCAGGAAGAGCGGCCTGAAGAGCCCCCAAAGACAGAACTGGGAGAAGGGCTGTCAGGTTCTCAGCGCAGTTATCGCCCGGCGCTCCCGGCGCTCCCGAGCTCCCGGCGTCAGAGGGATGCGGCTCATTGCTCCCAGGGACTGTTCCCAGGGAATGGCAGGGGAACCGCAGGCACTCCAACCCTTCCCCACAGACTGAGCACCATAAGGACACCCTGAGCTGAGGACAGTGGCAGGAGCGTGAGCAGCAGCAATGGGCATTCCAGGGACAGTGCCATGTTTGGAGTGCTCTGCCCTGGAATGTGGGTTTGGAACCGACTGCAGTCAAAGACCAAGCCAGGGGGTTTAATCACAGAACCCCGGAATGGTTCGGGCTGGAAGGGACCTTACATTCCACCCCCCTGCCACAGGCAGGGACACCTTCCACTAACACAGGGACACCAGGTTGTTCTAAGCCCCATCCAACCTGGCCTGGAACAATTCCAGGGATGGGGCAGCCACAGCCTGTGCCAGGGCCTCACCACCCTCAGCCTCTGCTTCCCACCAGGTATGGCAGCTCCGTGTGCTGACTCAGCACAGACGGGGATTTCCAAGCTTTTCTCCCACAGCTGGGACAATCCTGAAGCCTCCAGGTTGGTTTGGAAATCCCAACAGCTGTTGCTCTCCCCTGACTACAAAACAAAGCTCAGCCCTGTGCTCCTGCCCTGGCCCAGCTGGTCCTGCCCTGCCCGTACCTGGTGATCTCCTCCTTCAGCGCCGCCGGGTCCGTGGGGTAAAACTTGACACGGAAGCACATGGTGAAGGGAGGCTGGGCTGCAGGAGAACAGAGACACTGTGTCACCAAGGGCAAGGCTTTCCCCTTCATCCTGAACCACCCTGCTTGAGCATATGGTCAGATATGCTGGGGGTCTCACCCACCTGCCCCGCTCCCCCCAAACACACCCGCTGCCCTTGGTAAGGAGGGAGCAGACAGGCAAGGAGACATTCCTCACTGCAGTGGCCATGAAGTGTAGATGTCCCTGATAAAGCTGTGGGGAAGCACCAGCAGCACTATCTGCTGGCCACCCAAACTTCTCCCCACTCCCAAATCTCATTTCTCCATCCCCACCCTGCTGTCCTGGTCTCCACAGACGCTGGTGCCCCGTGCTGGGGGGGTCACGACCAGCTGTGGCTGCAGTGGGGTTGGTGGTGAGTGATCCTGCTCTCAACCCACCAGAACAACTTTTGGGGGAGCCTTTTTCTGGGAGACGGGCTGCGAATTGACCCCACAAGGGACAGGCTGGAGAAAATGGAATATATCTAAGATGGAAGGAGCACACACTGTCTGTCTGGGACACCTACAACACTCACCCCGCATCTGCTTCACAACTGACTTGGTAAACTCCAGCCAATGCTGAAAGGAAAAAGAAGGTGATTAAAGCCTGATGGCTGTGACTTCACAAGGTGGGAAGGATAAGGAAGAGGAGGGTACTGCTCCAGGTGAGAAAAGCTACCTGAATGTCAGTGAGTGTCCCTGGAAAGGCAAAGGAGGAAGTGGGGGTTCAGACTGGCCCTGTCTCACAGTGAGGGAGAAGCTTCTGTGCCCAGCTCCTGGCCCATCATTGGCTGCCCCCTGTTACAGCCATGGCAGAAGGTGCCTTGGGAGCAGGAATTAGTTGTTATATTGATCAGTGGGAAGCACAACACAAGGCTGTTATCAATAGCTGTGTCTGGAGTGTGTTCGAACTGGTTCTCATTCACAGCGAGGGGTGGAACAGCTCACTCTGCACACATTCTAACTCCGAGGAAGGGACAGGACTCACTCACACAGCCTTGGGGTGGGAATGCAGCTCATTGGGCCCGTGGGTCTGTGTGCCCCCCTGCCAGACCTGCTGCAGCTTCCCGGGGCTCAGCAGGACACGGATCCGTGCCAGGAGCCGGGCCAGACCAGATCCTGCCGAGCCCTCAGCTCCTGCACTCCCACTCTCGTCTCACTCTCCATCGCCCGAGGCAACACTCAAGCGTTTGGATCCCCGGCACAGAGCTGTCAAATGGCCTAATCTCGGTGTTAACACGTGAATCAGTGCTAGAAATGGTCCTGCAGACCCTCTACCAGGGGATCTCCCTCTTCACTTTGCAACACCATCACATCCTCTCACTCTGCAACTCACGATGCCTCCAGCCCTCACATGAGGATCCGAGGGCCGGGTGAGTCCCTCCGGCTCACACATCCCAGCCATTGCCGGGGACTCAGGGAGCCAGGACGCTGGGGCTGCTGCCAGAGCCTGGGTGCATCCCAGACCCTTTCCCCGCAGGGCAGGGGGTGTCCCCAGGGTGCTCAGAGGGCCTGTCTCATGGGCAAAGGAATGACCCTGTCGGGGCACCCACAGACCCCTGTCCCAGCAGCAGGGCAGGGCAGGGCAGAGCTGCGGGGGAAGAGCCCCTCATCACCACCTAAACCTGATTTTATCTCTGACCTTTGCTTCCCGCCGGTTTTCAGCGGCGAGGACAAGCCTGACACCCCTCCCCCGGTCCGGGCAGGAGGGGCTCTCTCTCACCCTTTGCTTGTCGGGGTCCACAAACCGGATGCCGAAGTAATCCTTCTCCAGCAGGTTCAGGTGGTGGCAGAGAAGGTCGAACAGGTACTGGCCCTTGGCATCTCTCTGCAGGACAAAGAGACTCAGTGACCGAGCAGGGGGAAGGGATGGGGGGGTAGAGAGCTGGGGGAGCGGGGTCCGAAAATTGTGAAGTGACACCAAGGACAGTGCAAACCCCACACACATCCCTGTGTGATATTTTCAACTCAGAAACCATCTCCCATCCCATCCGAGGGGCAGCAGCCACGAGCAGGACCCCACAGCAGCACCAGACCGAGCATTAACGGGGAATTTAAAAGTATCGTAGATACAAAATCTGCTACATCTCAGAATTTTTTAACATTTCATTTCCAACGCTGCAGACTGAAGCACACACTGGGAGCTGCTCCGCAGCGGTGCTGGCCCTGGACACCGCGGTCCTTCCAGCACATTGGCATGACAAAAAAAATTATCCCACCTCGCAGGATCTGCTTCTTATCGGCCTCTTCCTTTATCTGGCTCAAATTGCAGCTTGCCGCTAAACAAAGGGGAGTTTGTCCCGGTCACCCTCGGGCGATGGGTGCTCACCTCCCTGCCCTGGGCTGTTGTTATGCAGTTCAGAGGTTTTGCCAGCACGCACCCAAAAACTCTCCTCCTCCCCTTGGCTGGGGGGCGCAAACGCGGCCCCCGCAAAGCACCCGCTGCTTTGGCTAATGGTCGATCGTTTGAGTCATTAACCTTTAACGTTTCAGTGTCTCCCACCCAGAATTCCCACCTCATCCGTACCGGCTGCCCCAAGGCGGACAAGCCCCCGAGAGCCCCGGGCGGGCCCTGCCGGAGCTGCCGCTCCTCGCAGCCAGCGGCTCCTGCTCACTCCGCGCATCAAAGGCTGCTCCTGACACCCACGCTGCCTCCCTGCTTCCCACAAATACAGTGAACACATTGTTTCCTGACAAATACAGGGAACACACGCGTTATCTGATCAAATGAGTGCGTTATCTGATCAAACAGCCGCTCGGCAGACACAGGCAGCGATGGGGGAACCCCACGGGACGGCATTAACCCATTCCTGGGGTGCCGCATGTGAAATGTGTTTGTACAGGTTTGAGCAGCTGCTGACACCGTGCCCTCGGGGCCGGGCCTGGCAGCACCGGGGCAGCACCGAGGGGATGCGGCGGTGACCCCGGCAGTGCTGCCGCCGAAGCAGGGGCTGCCCGGGCCCGGGGTGCAAACCCTGCCCGGGGACAGCCCGTCCTGCCTGCCCGGCTCTGCAGCACCGGCCTCGGCAGCGGCACCGGGAGCGGAGCACAGAGGAGTCAGAGGTGCCCTGGTGCTCTCCCGACCCGGCACCTGTCCACACCGAAATAAATCACAGAATCACGGAGTGTGGAAAAATCCTCCAAGACCATCGAGTTCAACTGTCCCCCAGCGCTGCCAAGGCCACCACTAACCCATGTCCCCATGTGCCACATCCACACGGCTTTTAAATCTGCCCAGGGATGGGGAATCCATCTGGATTGGTGGACAGGTCTTTCCAGGAAGGAATTTTCCCAATATCCAACCTAAAGCTTCCTGGCACAGCTGGAGGCCGTTTCCTCTCCTCCTGTCCCTTGTTCCCTGGGAGCAGAGCCCGACCCGCCCCACCCGGCTCCCCCCTCCTGTCAGGGGGTTGCAGAGAGTGAGAAGGTCCCCCCTGAGCCTCCTTCTCTCCAGGCTGGGCCCCCCCAGCTGCTCCTGGTTCTCCAGACCCTTCCCCAGCTCCATTCCCTTCTCTGGACACCCTCCAGCCCCTCCATGCCTTTCTTGGAGCGAGCACTGGGATTTTGGAGCTGCTGCTAAAGCCCAGCGGAGCAGCCCCGCAGAGCCTGCGGCAGGGCCGGCCGGGCTCTGCAGTGCATGCACCGAGCTCGGCTGAGCGCGCTCTTTCCTCACCTATTAGCGAGTTTTTATCCACTCTCGCAGACTGGCTGCAGCTGTTCGGGCAGAGGGGAGGGCGCTGGGAGCGCTGCCGGGAGCGCTGGCAGCTGAGGCGCTCTGCAGCCGCAGCACGGCTGGCAGACGGGCAGGAGCTGTGCAGGCAGCATTCCTGCCAAGCCTTGGGAGAGCCGGGACCGTCAACAAACGGAGCTCCCCGCAGGCGGCGGGTCCTGCCAGCCGGGAACAGCGCTCCGGCAGCGCAGAGCTCACCTCGGGCATCGCCTCTGCCAGCTCTGCCCCCCTGCATCCCCCTCCCTCCCGGGCAGGCAGCAGGGCCCACCACTTACCCCTGCTGGGATGCCCACGTGCACCGTGGCATTGGAAAAAATGAAAGATTCCCATTTCCATACTCAGGAAACCCGTATTTCAGCTGCCTCAGGCGCAGCCCCTGGCCGGGCTGGGATGGGGGTGCTGGGTGACATCCCCAGCTGTGCATTCCTGGTGCTGCAGCACCCTCAGCCGGGGGCCAGCAGAGACCACCCCACAGAGGAACGAGATGCCAGCCCACGGCTGGGAGAAAAGACACATGGGGAGCAGGAGGGACCCCAGAGCCACCCACAGCAGCCATGCCCCTGTCCCTTGTGCACGGCTCAAGGAGCAGACACTGGCATTGGAGGCAGCTGATCAGCTCCAGCAGAGCCAGTGCCCCCCAGCACCCCAGGGCCACCTGCCCTGCAGCCCTCCCTTGGCAGAGACATCCCTTTGGGAGCCTGGGAAGGAAGGGTCCCCATGGGCTGCTACTTCACTGGGAACATGGCTGTGGGTGGCCCTGGGCTCAATCCAGGGCTGCAGTGCCCATCCATTCTCCCAAAACACAAAGGAACTCCCTCCCAGGGACCACAGGTCCCTTCAGCCTGTGCCCCTCACCCACTGCCCTGCTGCCACTTGTGCCTGGGGACAGGGAGCAAATGCCTCTGGCCAAGCTGGAGCTGCTGGCCAGGATGGTCAGCCTGTGCTGGGCACTGGCACTGCCAGCTGCTGCTCGGGAAACAAGGCTGCTCCACCGTCAGCCAGGGTATGGATTTAGGTGCTGAACTCGGAAAACCATGGCCTGGATCGTGCTTTATTAATGGGCAGATCAAGCTCTGTGTGCACCATCCATCACTGTCCCCAGCACTGCCCAGCCCAGGCACAGGGGCACAGACAGGGAGGAGGAACAACACCTGAATTCAAATCCCTTCTCCTGAGCCAGAGCAAGTTACTTTTTGTTCATTAAATAGGATTCAGTTTTTCAATGAGGACTGAAGCAGCTTGAGAGGAGACAAACGGTGGCAGCAGCTTGGGAACAGTGGGACAAAGCCTGAGCCCTGCTCACCTCTCAGGCACGGGATCACCTTCCCAGCTCAGCTGTTACCTGCTTTGGGGAGGCTGGACCTCTTCCCTCATCATCCAGAAAATAGTAATAAATGTTGGGCTTATTCTCTTCCCCTAAAGAAGGTCAGTCTGCAGGCTGAGCTAAAGGAACGTCTGGCACAGACACAGAGGTTAAAACAACTAATAACAGAAAATGCATAAACAAAGACATACTCCTAAATCATTCCCAGGTAGACCCAAAGGGCTCTCAGGCCCAGAGCCACTGCTGCAGGAGTGCAGGGCTGATTCCACATCCTCCCCAGCATCCCAGCCCTCTGCACCTCCCAGAGCAAATGTCACAGGGATTTGCCCCAGGCTCCTCTCCCTTTTCCTGCCCCAAAGCAGGATGGAATGCTTTCCTCTGCAATTTTCATGGAGGAATTGCAAGGACGGACAAACCAGACATCCCCCAGTGCCTGGAATGTGGTGAAAGTGTGAAACCACGATGGCATTACCGGGGAAATGTTCCCTCTTTGATCTCTCTAACTTGAATTAAACATATTCTAAATTAATCATTAGCAAAATGTCTTTCAGGAAATTATCTGAACTGCCTTTACAAATCACGACTTAAAAGAGCTCTCATTGCATAACACCAGCTTAAATATTCTGTGTTTGGATCTTTATGTGTTCTTATAAAATGAGACTCCTGTCTGTCTGAAGGTTTTTGAGGTCAGCCCTTCGGGGTGCCCGGGCTGATGGGGAGACCACGGCCAGGGGCTGGCACACACCGGGATGCCAGGCTGGCACACACCACACCGAGGGCTTGCTGTGGATGCCAACACCTGCCAAGGATTTCCAGTGTCTGAGGGAGCCTATAAGGAAGCTGGAGAAGGACTCCTCATCAGGAACTGTGATTGGACAATTCTCACTGCCAGAGGGCAGGGTTAGATGGGATACTGGGAAGGAATTCTTCCCTGGGAGGGTGCTGAGGCCCTGGCACAGGTTGCCCAGAGAAGCTGTGGCTGCCCCTGGATCCCTGGAAGTGTCCAAGGCCAGGCTGGACAGGGCTTGGAGCAACCTGGGCTAGTGGAAGGTGTCCCCATGGCAGGGGGTGGAATGAGGTGGGCTGTAAGGACCCTTCCAGCCCAGAGCAGTCTGGGATTCTGTGATTCCATGACTCAGAACTTACAAACCCTGGAGGAAGTGCAGCCGAGCAGAGCCCCGTGCCCAGACACCTTTGGGGGCCGTAGGGGCTGTGTCCCTGTTATCAACCACAGGGCACTGGGATAGGAGTGTTCCAGGGGAGGCTGGGCTGGGCAGCCAGCACGGCCCTGCTGCTGCTGCTGCTCCAGCCCGGGGCTGCAGAGGACAGCTGGGATCACCATCACGCTGCTGTTCTGGGTCATAATGCCCCTGATTGCCCTGCTCTGGTGTGAGCTGAGCCCAGGCTGCAGGAGCTGCATCGTGGCACAGGCAGCTGAGAATCTGCAGAGCTCTGTTTTCTGTCCCTCAGCCCCATCACCCTGATGCACTGTCAGGCAGCACTGCTGGGGTCTGACCCCTCAGCTCAGATCCCACATTCTCCCTCACACTTACCTTTGGCCAGGGGTGTCACTGGGACTGGATCTCATGGCATTCTTCATTTCTGTGGGATCTCTGGAGCCCTAAGCACATCCCAGTGCCCCAGTTCATCTCTGCAGACTGGCTGAGCTCAGGGCAGCGAGTGGGATTGGGGGACAGACTGTGGGACCACACTGATTTGGGGTGGGAGGGCTGGGAGGGGAGCACAGCCTCGAGGGACAGCCACCTGCACTCAT